AAGCGTATCCAATATTAATATAATACTAGTACTAACGTACTAACACTGATCATTTGAACGATTACAAAAAAACATATGATTTTGAAAACCACGAAACGGTAGCAGAACAAGAGGTCCATACTACTACTAGTACGTATAAAAGACCTCTTGTTCACTTAGAGTACGGAACATTTGAACCATCAAGGGCCCACCAAAAGATGTACTTTTGGGGCTAGTATTTGCATCAGTTGATGTAGCTACAGTATAGGGACGAACGTTCTCCCTGGTGATGACACCACCGCGAAATTCCATTCTTGTTCGGTTCTAAAGAAACCTCTACCTCAAGACACAAAACGTGCATTCTGCAATGGCTATTCCCCGGGTTCGAATCTCACTGAGACCAGTGGGGGAGTCATCGGCCTCCTCGACATGTTAGGAGTGAGCGTGGTAGACTTGGCTCATCTCATCCAACAAGAGGTCTAATGCGTGAACTTCGTCGCCGACTTGTTGTTGGAGACGCGACACGATAGCAAAGGAGTCCATGGGTTTCTTCAAAAAAGTGATTGTGAGTTATCACTACGCGCTACTCCGAGTAGGTATTTGGTGTAGAGTCGCAGCAGATATTCACTGTCAGTTGTGTAGGATATTGTCATATAGGTTGTAAATGTGGACTAGCGATGCCATATTGTTTTTGAATCGGTTTATTCTTCAATAACGCAGTCTTTGATCATTTGTTCAATCTCTTCGTCATTGACAACGTTAGTTCGATTTTAGCCAATCCTATCACATTTACTTATTTTAATTCTATATATATATTGATGTACAGTATTATTGGCAATCACTGATCAAGAAATTTGTAAGTGAACAAGAGGCCCGAAACACTTTTCATCACCAAACTTATTTAATTACATATAAACTCTAGTGACTACGAATCCTATTGACAATAGTATTATACAGGTCCCACTGTTTGGATGTATAGGGGCTATCTACTGATCTTCTCAAAATTCACAATTTTGACTTTGACCAGCAATAACTTCATGAAGCATACATCGAATCCTTCAAAGCTTACTTGTATGAAGTAGCACGTTCAATCCTCTATAGCGGCATATGTGAAAGTTCGTCCAAATCGTCTTAATTGTTGAGAAAGCGTAAAAAAGCTAAGGGGTCCATTTTTGGGCCATCTACTGGTCTTTTACGCTAGCAACGTTACCAATCAAAACTACGTGGATCGATGATTGGTTGAAATTTCTATTTTAGAACATTTGGATTGGCTAGGACATTCGAATCAAATGCAGCATGACTTTCAACAAGTTGGATTGACGAACAACGAATAAATTATAACACGGCTACTCGAGGGTAGTCTGTGGTGTCGTCGTCGCTCGATGTCGAGTTGCGCACGCATAGTTCCATGCGCTGCTTTACGAGGGCGATACGGCGCTGCAGCGGCGTCAGATCTACGTCCCCGCCCCGCGCGGCCAACGAGTAGTCGGTGTGGCTCGAGGACCGGCGGATGCTTTGGATCTGTACACGCATCGACGCTTCGTCCACCGCGTGCACGCGCGCTGGCGGCGGCATCACGTCCCCCGTGTGCGTCGTTGACGGAAGCGACTGCAACACGTCCACCTGGCCATACGCCGCAGCCAGTTGCCGAATGCTTTCGCCCTTGGTGTTGGTGTGTCCAAAATTCGCCCCTGCGGCCAAAAGCGCGTCTACGACCATCGTGTGTCCGTGTATGGTGGCCATACCTAGTGGGGAGTTGCCGTCGCGCGTGCGACCGGCGTTCACGTCCGCGCCTTGCTCGAGGAGATACTGCACGACTTCGATGTGACCACCAACCGATGCCACGAGGAGAGGTGTCACGATCCTGTGCGACGACGACGTCGATAGCGATGGCATCCGATCAACGACGTCGGCGATGTGCAACTTGGTCAGGCGACACATGGTACGGATGATGTCGACGTTGGCGCCTTGTACGGAAAAGTTGACAAAGTGATGGCGCAGGTCTTGGCGCGCCGAGTCGACCAACAATCGCGCGGCAATCGCCGACCAGTTCGAGACGACGAGGCGATCGAACACTGCGAAGTCACCTGATAAGCATGCACTTGTGACGACAGCTTCCATCTCCAACGATGAGACTGCGGGGAGTTTAGCCTCCATCATGCGCACAGCAGGGTCGTCGCCGCGGACGATGGCGGCAGCTACGGCGTCCATGGTGGATGGTTTGCCCGTTTCGTAATGGAACAAGAGCCATAACGTTTTTTGGAATTCTCTGTCTTGCATTATTAGTGGGTACGATTCTCAATTGATCTTGCCGTTTGTAGGGGCGAACGAATGCAGCAATTCAATATTCAAACACCGGCTCTGATTGGACAATTGGTGGACATGTCACCAGGCGAGAATTTTCACGAGGGTATTTCCCACGAATACGCGAAATTTTCCACAAAGTATTTGGGAAATACGTATTTCGTTTGTTTTCATTGGCTAAAAGCACTCGAGTAAAACGACTTGGCCACTGTCACTTAAAACCCATTCCTCAGCAAGTCCACCGCCATTGGTGGCGATGGGCGCAGCAGTAAGTTGGATCATAATAATGTACTTTGAAGAGATCATAGTGCTCATGTGTGTCATAACATTAGCTGTGCTATCTGCCAACCGTCGACCTGCTGCGAAATGCACCGACCAATGAGGTACATGTCACTCTTCTACAGCATTGGTAACGCTGAATTATCACCTGTACCGGTAGAGTAGCCAGATACAAGGCACCTGCAGACTTATCGGTCGGTGCATAGGATTCATGGCGGGGACGAGATAGCACAGCTAACGTTATGACACACATGAGCACTATGATCTCTTCAAAGTTATATGATCGAACTCACTGCTACGCCCATCGTCTTGTACAGTTATGCCGGCGCCTCTTGACGCCACCTTCGGGCAAGGAATTTGGTTTATAGTGACCAAGTCGTTTTGCTCAAGGACTTTTAGCCAATCAAAACGAGTTGGATGAAATGGAATTAAAGTATTTCCCAAATACCCAATTTGGACGATCCTGGGAAATACCCTTTTTCACGAACAATCAGCGAGTCAACTGCTGCGTACGTAATCATATTTTGCTTTCAAAAGGACCAGTGACCCCTGTAAAGTAACCTCGGAGCCCCCGGACCCCTAGTGTTGCTATTCCCGGGTTAAGTTGCATCACCAGTGCTTAGCTATCGCTAACCAAACTACAGTAACGTTAGTTGGAATGTGTCGATTTGGTTTACACGGCATTTGACTATGATCATAATAATGTCCTTCGGAAGTTATAATGATCATATGGTGCACTTCATCTAAAAACTTCCAACTGGCCAAATTGAAGAGTGAAGGTTTTATTATTTAACGTGCAATTAATATAGTTAAACCCAAATTCCAGATACGTTAAATACCGATTTCATACGTTTTATCCCTGGAGTGGGAGGTTAAAGGTCCCACCTGCCTCCGGATATCAAATACGGATAAGAGCGATATACAAAAAAT